TGGGGGGGGAGGGGGGGGGGCCGGCCGAACCGGGATCATATATATATATATATATGTCTGTCTGTCTGTCTGTCTGTCTGTCTATCTATCTATCTATTTATATGTATATATGTATGTATCCATATTCTGTACATCATAGAGCTATACATCTATGTCTATATATATATATATGTATATATATACTTGGCTACTGGGATCCTCGCCTGACTTGGTCGAGCACGAGTACCAAAAATGTATATATATATATATATATACATACTTGTATCTATTTATACGTCCTATGTATCTGTCCGTCTGTCTGTCTGTCTGTCTGTCTATCTATCTGTCTATGTATGCACCACGAGGTGCTTCGAGCAACGTCCGCTTGACATGCCATCTGGGGCTCGTGTGCCCGGAGGGGGCCCGAGTACGCGTGGGACCAGACTGGGGCACTTGGGAGGTGCGGGATCGGGTTTGTTGAGCATTAGGAACCCAAAAGGGACATAAGCATAAGCATTTTATAGGGATGTCGGGCCCTAGAGCATCGAAATGCTCCAATCCAGACCCCAGGAGGGACGATGCATCTTTTTCGACGACAGCTACGAGCATGAGGCCGACATTGGTTGAAATAAAGAGTCCTTGCTGCTGATCGATGCGTCGACGTGCTTCAGCGAGATGATTCTGAACATGTCGCACTCTTCACCTTCAGGTGGTCAATGATGGAAAGAGTGTCAGGCCGGGAGCTGAGATTGTCGGGGTCCCTGCATCAGACATGGCCGCGGCAAGCTTGAGGATCGTCCTGCTCATCCGTTTCTGGCATCCGGAGCTTCCGGCAGAGAAGTGGTTGTCGACTCTGAACTCTGGGATGGAGGAATACAGCGCGATGCTGCAAAGACGTGTGTCGCCGCCAGCGAATCCACGCGTGGCGGAAGCTCGGATAGCACGCCTTGCAAGTTCCTGGATGCATTGCTGCTCTGTGGGTTCCCCGCACCAGGAACTGTTGATGAAGGCGGAGGGTTCTCCCGTCATAGCGCTGATGCTTGGCCGCCGTTGGAGCATCAGACCTGGATCAGGCAAATCCAATTTACTGCTGAGGAAGGGCTCCCCCTTGAACAGTGCGGAGCAAGCAGCAGCGGTGCTGAAAGCGGCTGCTCGGATGTGAACAAGTTGAGTCATCGGACCAGACAGCAATGACTCGTCTCAGGATGCGCCTGATCTTGCCGTCAGCGGCAGCGACATGGGGCTTTTGGAGATACGGGATGAGCTGTATTGATGGATGCCGTGCTCGAAAATGTAGACCGTCTGCTGGTGCTTGGAGAGAAGAAGCTGCAGAGGTTTAGGTTGGACCAGCCAGGCCTGGCAGAGATAGACATGCGACGCTTGCATGCGGGTTTCTCAGAAGTGAATCATACAGGATGGCACCCCGGCAAATCACCTTGCGATGTCGACTGGGTGCTAAGTTTCCTCGGCGTGCCCTGCTTTTGCCACTGTTACGGGCTTTAGCAGACAAGGCGGGGCTGCAAGACTCAGGCTGAGATTTCTAGTGCCATCTCATGCGGCCACGTTGGCCTTGATTTGTGGGGTTATAATACAAGTTGTAGAATCTCACTCTCTCTCTCTCTCTGCCTGTGCTGCAGTGCTGACTTGACCCGACCTTATGAGGATCCTCAAACCCGGCGTGCTGCAGCTGAAGCTCTCAGCGAGAAGGCGTTTTTTGGAAAGGATCGCTGTGGATTTCAAGATGGCGACAGTGTGCCGGAGGCGGCAGAGCTCACGAAGCTGCCGATTCTGCTGACGCCTGCAGCCTGGTGGAAGCATCGCCACCATCGTGCAGCACGTAATCGAACATGACGTGACTTGTGTCTCGTGCTCAGGCACGGTTGGGGTCAGGATGCTGGCAGTTTTCCTGCACTGCGGACTGCCGGTGGCGATGAGGCACAGCCTCACAGGAGACTTCGAAACTACTCCCTGAACTCTTCTCGTTCACATGCTACAGGTAGATGCTTTGCTGTCGGAAGTCTTGCAGAACAGCACGCAGCCCAGCTCTGTGCACAAAGTCCACAGAATCTGACACCACTGCGAAGTTTGGAGGTGTCGACTTCTGGTGCTTCAAGTCTGCTGGGGCCGCAGAGCCCGAAATAGTATACCGCAGTCCTGGCTTCCTTTCCAAGGCTGTCGCCTTGTCTCTGGCACTCTCAGGCAATGTGCCGAAATGCCAGTGCTCTCGCAGGGAGAGCGTTGCATAATTCCCTTTCGCCTGAACGCCCGAACCAGGCAGCAGCAAGTCAAAGGATTCCAAGGTGTGGGACGTGCTGCTGGACCCGAGCTGTCTTCCACCTTGCTCATCAGCATGAGTTCCTGCTGAGTGAATCTGCTCCATAGTCGAACGGCATATTTTGTTTTTGCCGCCACTTGGCTCATGCCATCGATTCCGCGTGCAACGCAAAGCAAGCCACAACATGAGCGGGAATTCTGCATATGGAAGTGCAAGACAAACCACCCGCCTTCCTGTTCGCCTGCACAGCCAGTCAAGCCCGCTTTTTCTTCCAGATGTGCTGCTAGGCATCCGAAACTTGTAGCACATTCCATCCCGAGTAATATGGCCGCCCCATTGCGCATGGCAACGCCTTCAGTTTCGAAGGCCTTGATGGAGACGCAGGAGAGACGGGCATGACAAGATCGTTATCTGGAGCCCGGGGCAATGTCGCGGAACAGCCTGGGGCTTATATCGTCGTTCAGAGTCAGCAAGCTTCGGAATGCAGGGCATTTCGCACTTGTTGCGCCTCGAACACTCGCGACGAACACGTGGAGCCCGACACTGCTGCGACAGTAGAGTGGCGTAGTCGTGGTCTACTAAGTGACAACACTCACCAAGCGGGTCTTAGAGCAAGTAGCAGCCGTAATGTAGGCAGGCACACATGAGAAGGCTCATGCCAAGAAATGCGTTCGCTGAGGCAAGCCACCGACGGTCCTCAGTTCGTTCTTGGATCGCTCTGGGTGCACCTTGCCATGAAGGGGGCATGAAAGATGGAAATGGAGGGATGGGAAGGAGGGCTGGCATGGGGCTCCTGTCTTTGCGGTTCCATGTGAACAGCCCCCGAAGCAGCCGAGGCATCGGCAAGGGTCAAGTTAGCGGCTTTGTGAACTTCATGCGGTCGGATCTTGACCTCGCGACCAAGACAGAGTGCATGGAAGCCATACGCCTGACAGAGGGGAAGGCCAACCGCCTACTGCGGTTTGTGAAGAGTGGCGGCGTCACCAAGATAGCCAGAGTCCCAGAAGGGCATTCCTCGATATACTACGTATTTGTTAATATGATGCATATTGTTGTTGCTGCTAGTGTTGAATAGCAGTTCCACCATGTCATAACTATGATCGTTACCATCAACAATATGTAGACTTTCAGGACCTGAAGGCCGTAAACTTTGTAAACCCTATAAGGTCATGTGGCTGGAGCGGGCGCTTCGGGAGCCGAGCTCAACGGTGAACCTCTTCATCGATCACTCGCTGAAGCTGCTGGGCCGAATGCCGGATTCTGTCTGGAATGCACTGAGCCGCTGACTCTCCCTACCCTCTCTCCCTCCCTCTCCCTCTCTCTTTCTCATTCTCTCTCTCTCTCTCCCACTCTCTCTCTTTCTCTCTTTTGCCGGATAAAGCTTGCTTGGGCATTTTGGGCTCGTGGCAATAACCGTGTGCATCCTGCATAAAGCTTACGCCAGCGCCTCCTCGAAAACTCCAACCAGATCAGAACCAGACGGATTGTGCCCCCGATGAAAAGGTCGCTTCGAGTCTTGCCGCTGAGGGTCATGGCAGCTTGGAAGCAAGAGGGAGAGATCAGCGCAGCAAGGCGCATATTCCCGAAGGTAAGGAGACAGATAGAGAGAAACATTGACGTAGAAGAAGGGGGCAAGTCTCGCTGTCATCCTTCGCCTCCCGCGGCCGACTGCGTTCGACATCTCAGTTTAGGAGAAGAGCGCTGCCCAGTGCCTCGTCGATTTGATCCGGAAGCTTCGGCAGCGGCTCCAGGCTACGAGTCTTGTTTAGCGTTTAGGGTTTTGGGGCTGCTTCGCAGCTGATCAGCAGAGTCTGGTTCAAAAAAGTTTTAGGGTCCTGGGCGAGAGAAAGTTTAGGAGAGCAGCGTGCAATTTGTGGTTTTCAAGCAGGAGCCCGCTCCACGGCCGCCCACGACGGCCCCCCGCACCCCGCCAAAACGCCAGCGCCGCCGGGTGAAGTCGACCGATGCCCCTGTCGCTGCGCAGAGCAAGGCCTCGAAAAGCTTGGGGCGGTGCTGACTCCAAGCAAAGCCAACGGCCAACGCAACATGTCCAGGTCACTACGCCTGAGCCGACCCAGGCCCCTCGAACTCCGCCCCTGCAGGTCAGGAGTGATTCTCAACGCGTCACATCAAGTCTATACAAGCTCTCGCGGCGCCACTGTCAGGCCACCGGGTTCGTCGCCTCCGCCAAGCTGATCGCAGCTCCTTCTACGCCGCCTCTGCCGGATTTCATCCAACCAGAGGACCGCTAACCGGTTGAGCTGGGAGTTGTTGGGCAGCATGCAGCCTGCGATTCTCCCGTTCGGAGGTGGCGTCTGCGGCGGTGCCCACCGAGGCTGGCACGCCATTCCAGGCACAAATAAGTCCGTACTGTCCAAAGCGGCATGCGGCGAGACAAATACGAAGCAGGGAATGCTTCAGCCTTGGGATGTTACGTCTTTTTCAGGCAGCTGCTGGTTTCGCCCCCAAACCGAGTGCAGCACCTTCTACGCCGCCCCTGCCGGATCCAGTCCATCCCGAGGAGCGGCATGCTAGACATGTTGAGTGGTTGGGCGGGGAGTTGTCGGTCAGCATGGTGGATTTGGCCTGCTCGGAGGTGGTATCTGCGGCGGTACCCAGAGTAGTGAGCACACCATCGCAGGCCCAATTGACGCACGGTGTGACCAGCAAGGGGACATGGCTTTGATCGTCAGGCTGGCAAGCCGAGCGCAGCCCCTTCTACACCTCCTTTCATGCGTCCGGCCGGACCCACGGTGGCGATCGCAGCGTCTGCTGCGGTGGCGAGGACACCATTCCAGGCCCAAGTGAAGTTGGGCGCGACCTCGACTAAAGGGGACACGGGGTGACTCATTTGGGTTTATGCACCTGGCATTGATCTTCAGGCCGCCAGACCGAATGCAGCCCCTTCTACGCCGCCTTTGCTGGATTCAGTCCATCCCCAGGAGCGCTATGCTAGCCATGTCGGGTGGTGCGTGACATAAATAAGAGGGAATGGTTCACCCTTGGGACGTTACGTCTCGCATTGATCTTCAGGCAACTGCTGGTTTCGCCCCCAAACCGAGTGCAGCGCCTTCTACGCCGCCCCTGCCGGATCCAGTCGAGGCACGGCAGGGGTCAAATAGTTGAGCTGGGAGTTGTCGGTCAGCCTGCAGCCTGCATTGCTCCTGTTCGAAGGTGGCGCCTGCAGTGGTACGTGCAGCGGCGGGCACTCAACCTCAGGCATGAACAGATGCGCTGCCGGACGCGGATCCGCAAGCGTTCGATTCTTTGCAGGTCGTAGCCCCGAGAGTCCCCGATGCAGAGCCTTTCGACTACCTGAAGGCTTGGCAGGCCTGGGCAACTGCATGAATGAAGAGCCCAAGCTACAGACGAGGACTGCGACTAAGTCAGCTGTTGAGCCTGTCAGGCTCTGCACGCCGCCCCTTCCACGCCGCCTCTGCTGGATTCAATCCCTATCGAGGAACGGTCCACGCCCAGCGGTCGAGCTGCGAGTTGTTGTGATCGGGACTAGCTTCTACAGCTCCCTAGTCGTTGAAGCACGTCTTTGTCGCCATTTCACTCCTGTGCAGGTCGTTCCCCCGAGATTCCCCGATCCAGAGCTGATGCCGAAGGCAAGGCCGGTCACGAAACGGGAGAAGCGGCAGACTGCGAGCCACAGGCACGCCCGGTGACCGTGCCGCCCAAGGCCAAGGCCAGCAAAGTCATCTTGGATGGGAGACGTGAATTCGTGGATGCATCGGTTGAGGCTGAGGCTCCCACGAGTGCTCCGAAGCCTCAACTCACAGCAGCGGTTTCACTGCTGACAGCTCGGCCAAAGGCTCCGGCCCTCAGTCATGATGGCATGGCATGGCTCGTTGAGACGTCTGAGTATTTGAGGTCTTGCCGTCTCCGCCCCCTGAAACTCCAGCGCAAACAGCAGCCGGCGTGCCGCCGGTCAGGGCTGAGCGCAAGAGCGCGTTGAAGCGGAAGGAGCGGGGCCCGGTTGGTGCGTTCATTCGTCACTTTGGTCGACGAGTCCTGGCGCTCCGAGGCGCCGAAGAGCTCAGAGCCGCCAGCGCCGGCAGCAGCGGCAGCAGCGGCAGAGGCACGAAGCCCCGTGCATTTTCAGATTGGGTGCTACGCTAAGAGGCGAGCCGACTGCAGGCGAACCAGACAGACACAACTAGGCAGTGTAGGCTCAAGGTGCACACGCCCACGCAAGAAGCAAAGACCAAGCTCCAACTCGCCGGTCGCTGCTTGGGAAGGGGGGCCCAAGCATCGCCGCCAGTTGCTGGGTGCGGTGTTTCGCTTTTTCATGTCCATGGGAAAGGTCTGTTGTGAGCAGATTCTGGGATTGACCTGTTCAGGAGCCGCTAGGCGGTGGCGATGCTTCTTTGAAGGCTGGCCCCGCAGCATTGAGTTGAGATCCCTTGCGACACACTGGCATGTCTTTTGAATGCATGAGCCACATGAGGACGAGCCCCTGCAAGAGAAGCTGCACCAGGTGAAGAGACGCCCATCCGCTCTTTTGCAATCCACACCGAAGCCCAAGCCCGTCCCGTCCAAACCACAAGAGGCCTTTGAACACCAGGGAGCGGAGGCGGAGGGAGCGGACCTCGAGCCCAAAGACATACTCGAAGAAGAGGCACTCGGATTCGCGCAAGGAGTGGAGCTGGAACAGCTGGAACAGGCATCTCTACAAAAAAGCCCGACGCCGGAGACGGCTGAAGGGGAAGGCTTCCGCTTCGAGCAGGAACGGGAGGAGAAGGATGCGCCAGACGAACAACAGGAGGAATGGTGGTGGTGGCAGCAACAGCAAAGCTTCGCCGAGGCTGTTGCACCCGTCCCTGAGCGTGAGATGGAAGCGCCGGCAGAAGAAACAGATGAGCAGACCGAGGAGGCCATGAACACCGATCAAGAGATGGCATTGCAGGAAACAGAGCCTGCTGAGTCTGAGATTTCAGAGAGCCTGGATGCCCTGGAGGCACAGATCTCAGCGGAAGAAGACAGGGTCCAAGCGCTCCAGCGGCAGTTGCTGGCAGAGAGTGATAGCGACACGGAGCCGGAGACGGACACGGAGGCGGCGGAGGCAGGGGCCGCAGGGGCCGCAGGGGCCGCGGTGGAGCGGCCTTTGAAGAAGCTGAAGCAGAGCCTTCCGAAGGAAGTCCCGAAGCTGAGGAAGGATTTGCGGCAGTTGATAGAACGTTATGGAAGTTCCCAACACCTCCTCACGAGCCCTTCCACTCCGCCTTTGGAAGAGACATCGGAGCTTGGCGCTCCTCGCACTCCTCCGCTGCAAGAGAGCCCAGAGTCTGTGGCACATCTGGCACCTCTTCTCGCAAACCTTCTCACCTCCTCCATGCCACAGTCTCAGCCGCCTCCTGAGGCCCCACCGGATCCACAGGAGCCACCGGACCCTAAGGTTTGGGCCGCTGCAGATCCCCGCGTCGTCCCAGTGTCACTTCATGAGAGCAGCTCGGGTCCCCATGAGTGGACAGCTGCTGCAAACAGCAGCCGGCATGCTTCAACGCTGGAGGAACTTGTAGGCCACTAGACAGCAACAGAAATGAGACATGTCCCATGTATTCGCAGCCGAAGCTCCTGCGGGTCCCAAGAACAGTGCGAGGTCAGCCCGCCTCCGTTGCGAGTCCCGCCACAGCGGAGACGGTGAAGACAGAAGACAGCAGCCTGAACAGCGCGTTGATTCGGGCCGTCTTGGATGCGCCCCTTGGCTTCACCAAGTAAAAGCCTTCGGAGTCTCGTGCTTGTTGCGAAGTCCTGACAGGGTTCCGGAGCTACAGGGTGCGATTCCACAAAATCCCCACGAGCCAACCATTGCAGCGGCAGCGGGGAGCTCAGAAATGGCAAGGTCGGGCATCGCATTGCATGGCTAGAAACATGGCTTCGGACAGGGCTTTCTGGGAGGTCTTTTGTCACTTTTGTCTGGACATTTTTGACTTCGGATACTTTTTAGTCCTTAGTCTCGCGCGTTCAACGCAACTTTGTAAGTCTGTCCATTACTGTATGACCCTCATCCTGACTCCTATGACTCTCTCACCACTCCTTCTCGCCCTCGCCCTTGCCTTCCTCCTCACTGTTGCTTTCATCCTCAATCTCACTCTCGCTGTCTTGGTCGTCACTGCTGCGTTCGCGAGTCACGAGCCTCTGCTTCTTGCTTGGTCCACGCTGGTACTCGTACCTTGCACCTAGTGTAACTTACACAAGGTCTTGCAGTCCACTGGGCGTAGTGGCTCTCAATGCGTGACGCAGAACAAGCACACGGTGCACCTCGTGTAACTTACGCAATGGAGTGGTGGGTGGACACGAAAGTCTCGGAGCTTTCTACGGTCCCTCACTCAATCCGAAAGCTGCAGAAAAGTTTTGGGAGAACACCTGCACTCAAGCAGAAAGTACTACTTTCATGTTGATAGACAAAACTTTGGCCTACACTTTCGGCGACGATGAAATTCCTTCACGCACGTATGATCGGCCGACAAAACTTTCGGACTAGAGCAACCGCTACACCCCAAACCCTGAAGCTGCCCCTATAGGACCTCGCCGTGAGCATTGTCCTCAGCCATGCGAGAGGGAACAAAAAGCCTGCGCTCGTTGCGCCCTCTTTTTTCCCAGAAAGCGGTGCGGGTGCAGTCCAACACGTCCGACGGGCAGCCGAAGCATCAGCAGTAAGCCAAGCCGTGCGACGGTCTGCTGTAGAATCGGCTGTGAAACAACGGAGCAGGACTGTAAGGCGAACGACACGTCACCCCCTTCCGGCAACTCGAAGCCTTACCACCCCCACCAGACTACGCGCCGAGTGCGAAGTCCAAGGCATCTACAATGTGGGCCTCTGCGATGGAGGCGTACACAGAGAGTGGCATTGCTGCACTGGGGGGTCGGGGGCTGGTGCTGGCTTGAGTTCCCAGCTTAGGCGTTCTCATGAGCTCGAGAGCGACGTCTCTTGCAGAGAGCATATTGCTGAGCAGCGATATGGTCTCTTCACCGGAAAAAGACACGAGCTACTCGTAACTGCGCTCCACAGCAAGTTGCTATGGCCCTCGTAGCCGCTTTTTCGTTCGCTTGAGCTGTGCAGGACAGGCTCGGATTTGCATCCTGGGCTTCGGTTGTTCGAGGCACATCCGCTCTTTGGTCGCCGAGCGAGGATGCGCTTGGCTACACGAGAATTGCCACATTCGCCAGCCAATGCGATGGCTCGTGTTGTCGAGTGACAACGAAGCTTCGACTGCCAATGTCCGGTCAACCACGGAAGCAAGTTCATGCCGACCACTACAACATTCGTGTCAGCTACAGCAACAATGTAGCCGACCACTTGCCATCTGTCGCCATGGATCCGCAGCTGCAAGATTACCGTGCTCTGCAGCAAGCACGCTTTGAGGTGTGTCATCTGTTGCTTCGCGAGGGCCGGTCTTACGGGTGGAGCGGTTTTATTTGAAACATTCTGCCAGAACAGAGGAGGGCGAACATGAGTTATCGTTTGCGCCTACACTCTCTCGTGTGGTTCGGCGGGTGACAGTGACACCGCAAGCATGTCGAAGCCAAGCCTGAATGTTAGTTCAGTTTCTGTTTGCTGTCATGGCTAGTGTGGGATCGCCCCACCGAGACTGTCTTAGGCTTATTAAACTTGAACATTGGCATGATGGAGCTATCGTTGTTCCGCATGTCTTGGGTATCCTGGCACAACTACGGAGCCAATGGTAGACAGCCATGCCTGCATCTGACTGTTGCTGCACCCCCGACGGCACCGCGGTCTCAAGCTTGCATCTCAAAGGCTGCATGGGGGTTTCCGAAACTTAGGGTACCTTATTTTGGGGTCCTTCTAATAAGGATCCTACTATTTAGGGTGCTATATCAGGGTCCCCGGTTTTCCATGTGGCTGAAACGAGATCGCAGGAAGCCAAGGCAGAGCTGCAGCGCAGGCGAGCAGCTTCTTCTCGGTCGAGTGAGCCACTTTGAGTCGCCCCTGGAAAGGACGCAGGATAGCGGACCGTTGAGACCTTCCACATGTGCGGAGGTCCGGCAGAGATTGTCCCTAAACCCTTTGTCCGAGTGTGAGCGCCGGAACCCTACCCCTCACTTGCAAAAGCCTTTCCTCGCCGATTCGAAGGCCTTGGCCCGCCAGTTGCGCGCCAGGCAGAGGGTCAGTCGGAGTCAGAATATGAAGACAGAGAGAGAGAGAGAGAGATTATATATATATATATATACATATATATATATATATTTGTCCTACTTCCCACAAGCACAAACGGTATGGAAGCGTGCTTCCATGTCTGTACTATGCGGACAAAGAAGGGTGATCGTTATCTG